GGCTTTTCTCTTCTCAGAGGGCCCCTGACCCCAACCAGGGAGCCCCTGACCCTCACTGTAAACACTGGTCTTGCAGGAAAGGCCTGATGGAGTCTCTCCTGCTGGGCATGAGCTCCCTGAGGTACACTTGTTTTTCCATTTATTAAGTATTTATTGATTACCTAGTATTCAGAACAGGCTCTGGGGAGACCATGGCGATAGAAACAGATGTGTCCCCTGCCCTGAGTAGCCTACAGTCTCATAACAGATCAGACCTCAGTCAGATGAGCCCGCACATAACTGCAAAGTTGCGACTATAATAAATAGCACAGGAAACCTGGGATCCACCCGGTCGATGGGAGGGTGCTAACGTGCCGCAGAGTGAAGGGAAGAGCATGCTAAGCCGAGGGAACAGCGTGTACAAAGGCCGCGTGTCAGGAAGGAGAAGGTGGCCAGTGCGGCTGAAGTGGAGAGAGCAAGGGGACGGGACACACAAAAGGAGGCTGTGGAGAAGGAGGGACGGGATCCCTTGGGGCCCTGAGAAGATGGCTTGTCTTCCTTCTTCTGCACGGCTGGTCACCGCTGGGCAGGCCTACTGGTCTGTGTCTTCAGCACCTGGGACAGTTCCCGCACGTGTCTGAAGAGTGGAGGCGTCCCCGTGGAGGGACGGAGGGAGCACGATGGAATGATGGGAGCCCTCTGGAGTATTTGATATTGATTTGTTGTTTTCTTTCTTTATTCAAAGTGTTATTAATGGTTTACTGAGAAGGCAATGTTTACATTAATAATGACCATTAAGGGTGATCCTTTACGTGGTTTGTACCTTTTAAACGGGCTCTGCCAGTTCCCAAGCTTGGTGGCTGCTTTCTTCTTCCCATGACCCCGACCCCTTTGCTGTAAGGTGCAGGGATGGAAATCCAGGTGTGGACTTTTCAACGTCAGCCCCTCTGCCAAGGGGCAGGCATCCTTGTGTCCCCCTCGCCGCCACCCCCTCCTCTCTGGAAGCGGGGGTGGGGGGTGGGGGGGGTGCTTCTCCTGGGCCTGGGCTTTCGCTATGGGGTAGAAGGAACCTGGCAGTTTCCAGCTAGTCAACACAACGCTTTATTTGCAGCTCTACGACTTTCATTCACTGGTTTGCATGTCTGACACCTCACTTGGCACATCATTTATTACAGCTTTTAAATAGCCCTTTTTTTCTGGATTGGACGGTTTGTCCCCGTTTGGAATGGGGAGATAGGCTTCTAGGTGTTTGTGGTGAGAATGCCCTTGAGGGTAACGGTTTGGGGTTAGGGGCTTCCTGTTCTTAGCACAGGTCCAAAGCCCAAGCCTGTAGCCCAGGGACCTCCCCTGGATCTGGCTGGGGATGAAGGAGGGGGGCGGAACACACCAGAAGCCGCAGAGACCTGGCTGAAGGAGAGAGTGTGCAGAGAAACTCCCTTTTAGTTCTGCCAAAACGTCAAACTTCTATCTGGATCACAGGCAAGGGGAGGTAGTTTATCCAAACAGACTGGACAGGGCTCCGGAATCCATAGCCTTTCTCTCCCAGATGCATCGGTCCGGATTCCATTTTGAAAATGCTTCTCTGGGGGAATTTCTCCAATATCCCTCCCTCCCTCTCTCTCCCTCTTTCTCTCCCTTCCTCTCTCTCTCTCTCTCTGTCTCTCTGTCTCTCTCTCTCTCTCTCTCTCTCTCTCTCTCTCACACCTTCTCTCTGTCCCCCTCCACCCCACAAGGTTTGACAGTCTCTGTAACCAGAATCCCCCTTACTATAGTTAATATCTCTGAGGGACCCATTAAACTGGAATAAAGAATGGGTATAACAAAACATGCACATTCCCTTTCCTTTTAAAGAGAACTGGGGCTCGTCCGTTTAATAAACTCATCAGTTTGTTACCACCATTCTGGGATGATAATTGGGGAAAACAGTTGCAGAAATCCCTGTACTCTGCATGGGAAGGGCAAGACCCAGCATCCTCTGGGGACCACTCTGGTTCCTATTGTTACCCTATATTTATAGACGGGGACTCCACTACTACAAGCCCACCTCCGTCTGTTGCTGGTTGAAAGGCTATTTAACATAATCCTGATGAAAGGAAGAGGAGTGGCGTGTGGTAGGAGCATGGCAGAGAGAGTGGCATGGCGCGTGAGTCACCTGACCCTCGGCAAAGGGACAGCCATTAGCAACATCCCTCGCTGCCTTCCGAGATTCCTTTCAAGAACCGGTGACAGTTACCCATTCTTTGCTGCAGTGGTGACTGCATTCATTCTCATCCTACCTGCCTTGCCCCACTCTCAGTTATTGTTTTTGTTTTTAATGAAGCTTGGGATAGTTGTTTAATCACCAGTGTGTCGGGCTTCTAGAAGTGCCAGCCCTCAGCTGGCGGGCGGCGGGAGAATGGCCTGTTGAGCCCCTTCGTCGGTCCCAGGCAGACATCTGTTGAGCCCCGACTAGGTACCAGCCACAGGGAAGGATGAGACACAATCCCTACCCTGCAAGAACTCTGAGTTTAAAGCAAGTGTTTTTTTCAAAACTTGTGGTAAAATACACATCACATAATAGCGACCACCTTAACCATTTTAAGCGCACAGTTCAGTGGTGGTAGGTACACTCACTCCAGAACTCTTTTCATCTTGCAAAACTGAAACTCTATACCCATTAAACAACAGCTCCCCACCCACCTCGCCCCGCTCTGGCAGCCACCATTCCGCGTCTGTCTCTGAACTTGTCCACTCCAGGAAAGTCATATAAGTGGGATCACACAGTATCTGTCCTTTTGTGACTGGCTTATTTCATTAGCATAGTGTCCACAGGGTTCATCCATGTTGTAGCCTGTGTCAGAATTTCCTTCCTTTTTTTTTTTTTTCTTTTATTGGACGGCCGCTTATGGCGGCTCTTGGCAGCTCACATCGGCTGCCAGCCACACGGTGCCCATGGCAACCCACTGTAGCCTCACTGCAGCCTATGCCATCGCCAACAACTCACTGCAGCCCAGCTCCAGGTCGAGCTGTTGTTCACCATCTTAGCTGTAGAGGGCACAGCGTCACTGGCTCTCATGTGGGATCCGAACTGGGGCCCTGCTGCTCAGAGCTGGCATCCCAAGCCAACTCCTAACCAGCTTAGCCACTTGGCCAGCCCCAAATTTCCTTCCTTTTTAAGGCTGAGTAATATTCCATTGTGTGTATGGACCCCGTTTTGTTTATCATTCATTGGTTGGGGGACACTTGGGTTGCTTCCACGTTTTGGCTGTTGTGAATGTGGGGATGCAAATACCTCTTCGAGAGAGATCCTGCTTTCAAGAGCAAGCGTTTATAACCTGGGGGCCCATGAACGCCCAGAAACTATCTGCAAAATGTGGTGTATAAAAAGCATCTCGTTCTGGGGACTGCAAAGCCAGGGCTCTCATGAGGTTTCCATGGGATTAGGGTGCCAAGGGGGTTTGGTCTAGAGCAGCGGTTCTCAACCTTCCTAATGCCGCGACCCCTTAATACAGTTCCTCATGTTGTGGTGACCCCCAACCATAAAATTATTTTTGTTGCTACTCTATAACTGTAATTTTGCTACTGTTATGAATCGTAATGTAAATATCTTTTTGTTTCCGACTCCCAAAGGGGTCGCGACCCACAGGTTGAGAACCGCTGATCTAGAGCATAACAAAAGCAGCACCTGCTTCAGGGGCCCCTGAGGCCCCCCGCCTGTCCCGTGTCCTCTCCAGCAGCTGACGCAGAGGTACGGGAGCAAGTCACCCATGTCTGTCCCACCTGGGCTGCTTACTACCTGGGTGACCCTTGGCAGCTCATAGAAGCCTTAGTCTTCTAATCTGTAAGATAGGGGTAATGACAGTGTCCTCCCGGAATTGTTGGGGAAACTAACATAACATAGCACAGTGCTTAAAAGGATAGGGTGACAGGGTGAATAATGGTCCCCCAAAATATCCAGGTCCTAATGCCTGAAATCTATGACTGTTACCTTAGATGGCAAAAAGAGGCTTTGCAGATGTGGTCAAATTCAGGATCCTGAGATAGGGATAGATCATCCTGGATTTTTAGGTGTCCTTATAAAAGTGAGGCAAAGGGAGATTGGACTATAGACGAGGAAGTAGGAGATGCAGCAAATGAAAGGAGAGGTTGGAGCGAAGGGAGAAAGGGCTCTGAGACCACGAGAGCAGGTGGCCTCTAGAAGCTGAAAAACATAAGGAAACAAATTCCGCCCTAGAACTTCCAAAAGGAGTCAGCGCCCCTGGCAACCTTGGCCTTGGTCCAGTAAGACCGATTTCAGACTCCTGGCCTCCAGAGCTCGAAGGGAATACACCTGTATCGTTTTAAGTCACGAACAGCAGCGGTAGGAAACGACTGTGTATGGCCTCTGGAGCCAGACTGCCTGGGTTTGAGCCAGGCGTTACCACTTACTGGCTGTGTGACCTCGGGCAAGTCACTCAGCCTCGCCCTGCCTCAGTGTCTTCATCTTTAAACGGGGAAAATAACAGGGGTCACCACACGAGGTCGTTACGAGGGTTAAGGGAGCTAATATGTGCAAGACAGAGCAGTGCGTGGAACCTAGTAAGTACTGTGTACTTGTTAAATAAAATCCCCATGAAACATGTGAACGTGCCTGGCTGGCAGGAGGCCGTCGGATGGCACTGGCTGACCCTGGCGGCTTTGGCGGCGTTGGTGGGCTCTGCAGAGCTTGGTGACAAGGCGGGAAATAGCTGGTGACAAGGCAGAGGATAGCTGGTGCCTTTCGGGAAGACTGTCAGCGGCACAGAAGCCTGAGGACGACCTTCAGCATCTGTTAACTGAATGGCCCACACCCTGCGCTCGCCCGTCTTCTGTAAAACAGTAGCTGTTATTCCAAAAAACGAGAGTCATGGTCAGATAAATTTGAGAAACTGCATTTCAACGCTGAGTGGTTTTCTTTCCTTTAGGAAGTCCTAGCACTTTTAATATGCACATGAGCCTGGTGGATTTCCCAGGGACGTTTCCCAGACATTGGCCCCTGGACCCCCTTTTCGGGGTGCATCCTACAGGACTAGTGTTGCCCAGAACCCACCTCACCGCAAGCCTGGGAGACCGGGGCTGCCACAGAAGGGGATGCAGGTAGGACAGGCTGTCTGGGAGTGGGTATCAGGGTCCTGGGTGTCTGACCTCAGAACAGTCTAGAAAATATAGCTGCTGCTACTGCTGCAGGATATACATATCCCAGACTGAAAGGATTAGAGACACGCCCACCTCTGATGGCTTCAGGCCTGAGCCAGCCTCGGAGGCACCCAAGCCCCCAGCCCTCAGCTCCTGGCACGGCCCCTCCCTTCTCTGTCCTGGCTCATCCTGTCTCCTGACGACTCTTGTGGACCCCTCAGGCCCAAGGTCCATCCGGCCCCTCCCCCAGCTGCCCCTTGGCCACCATCCGGCTTCAGGCTATGCCTACAAGCAGTTGTGGATGGATCGGGGAAGAGGCGGGCTGGGTCCTGGAAACAGGCTCAAATAGGGAATTTGAGGTCCTGGATATTCAAAGGTTGGGTTACAGGTCGGGGTGGCCAGGGCCCCTTGGCACTGTGGGCTCCTGGCTCCACGGGGAGAGGTGTGGCCAGAGGAGGGATGGGACAGAAGCCCCAGGTGTGTGGGTCCAGGGCAGTGCCAGGTGTGGGCATTGAACAGTGTCACAGGACCCTGAATTGCAAATAGTAATCATACTCCCTCTGCCCACCCCCCACCCCCCACCAAGCAGGTCACCCCCATAGCCTTGTCCTTGTTTACTTCGGTTGCCTTCCAAGCCCCCAGTCAGGCAGGAGCTTGCATCTAATCTCCGTTGTCACCCATGGAGCCTGGCACCACACCTGGCACACGGTGGCCCGGTCCCCAGGGAGCCCTCACCAGCGGCAGTCACCTTGGTGATTTTGGCCACCGGGCCCTCTCCCTGCCCCCTCCCCTCCTGTGCAGAGCTTCTGGGGGCTTTGAAGCTCTGTATAGGAAGTTACACAGAGAGAACAGGGAGAGTGATTTTCGTTATCACTTGTGAGAGGGGCCCCCTCCTCCCACAGAGAGCCCCAACCTCGGCCCGCAGCGGGTGATGGGGTGGGCTGCTGACTAATGCGGCTTTCAGCGCCTGCAAGGCGAATGTACACGAGAGGCGGGCCTCGAAATAGGTGCCTTTGTTCAGTGTTTGTGCATTCGAACTATATGTCACAGGGTGATTTAGTCAGAAGGGCTACGGCACAGGTAATGAACTTGGCCTTGAAGGTGGGGGAACCCTGTGAGAGGCGCCCAGCTATGAACACCTTCCAGCTGGGCTTTGTTCATAAAATCCTGGGGGTGGGGGGCTCCTGGGGGCTTTGAAACTCTGCATAGGAAATTACAGGGTGGGAAAGGCCTCAGGATATATATCATCCCTCCAAGAATGGCCATGCTTAAAACATACCCATTAGCCTCCATGCGTGGCTTTCACCGGGGACATTCTTTTTTAAAAAATGACTTTATTGGGTTTTCGAAATTACAAAAGCATTGTATTAACACAGAGGTGTGTTCTAATTATTCAAGGAAAAAATTAGTCAATTGTTTCCCTGACTCCCCCGCCCACCTCCCTAGAGGTACGGGCGTTACCCATGTGGTAATGAACCAGAAGGCGTTACCACCTGTGTGGGTCCGTGTGAAAAATACACCAACGTGTATACACATCTACGGGGATTTTTGTTTTCATCTATTGGTGTTTGCTTTTTTTAAAAAGAGGATTCTCACTCTAGGCTGCAGTTTTCTCCTTGTACTTAATATATACCACGAACATTTTCTAAGTCAATACAAATAGACCCCTTTCATCTAAAAACAAAACAAAACAGCTAATAATGTCCCCCAGCATGAGAGCCATCATTTATTCAACTGTTTCCCTACTGATGTGTATTATTCAGGCTGCCTCCAGATTGGTATATTTTGTTTTGTTGTATTATTAGCAGTCCTAATGGCAGTTCTTATTAGCAGTTCTCTCCTAAATAATCTTTGGTTTCTATCGTATGCATATGCTGCTGGAGAAGATGATTTTGCCTGGGGGAGAATTATAGAGATGGCAAACAATTACAATGGTTTTCTTTACAGTCACACTGCTATAGCTTGTCACCTTACGCTGTCACATTTTCAGACTATTTGCCACCATTTACACATTCATCTGGGCAGTCAGTGTTTCCTGAGCACGTGGGTGGCATGGTGATGGCAACAGTGTGGGGAAGACAGCTGTCCTCAAGGAGCCCTGTGGCAGCATGGGCACCAGGCATGGGGTGCCCACAAGCAGGTGGACAGGCCCGCTTCAGCTGGGAGAGCATGAGTCTTCACAGATGAGAGCGTGGACTCTGGTTTCAAGGCCTGTCACCACCCCTCACTTGCTGTGCGGTCTTGGGGACGTTGGCTCATCCGTAAACCAGGGAAAACAAGGGTTAATGTCACAAGAGAATGGCACTTGGGACCAAGCCAGGTAGGCTGCAGTGTTTGCAGGGGCCTCCTCCACCGGGGACAGGAAACGCCCCCGAGCGAGTGACATTTCAGCGGGTCCTTGAGGATGAGCTGAAAAGGCATTTTAGACAGTTGGGGGAACGCGAGCACTCCACACCCACCACTAACACCGAGTTCTGACCTGATTCTTCAGCGTCCCAGGTTGTTGAAAGATCCAGGAACTCCTTTATTTTTAGTTGCCCAAATGCCCTCAGAGCCAGGGTTAAAGAACCCCTCCCCAGGGGCAAACTGGCTTGAGTTACAAGGGGTTGGGGTCCAGCAGCCCCTCTTACCCTGCACACAGCACAAGTGTTCATGTGTCAAAATGAAATGGAAATTTACCAGAAACTTCCTGTTGAGAAAACAAGTCTTCTCCCCTCCGCAGACTTAGCAGGTGTTCAGAAACCTTCTGACTCCCCGTCTGCCAAGGTGCACAAAGACCCAAAAACAGCCGCTGGCCTGGCCTGAGGGGGGCAAACCTCAGGGTGGGTCCTCCAGGCCCCCCTCGCACAATCTGGGACCAGGGCACAGTGGACAGGATAGTGGACTTTGGAATATGTCTTCCCTGGGCTTAGAGCCTCAGTCTGCCCCTTACTAACTATATGACCTCTAGCAAAGGACTTAGTCTCTCTGAGCCTCAATTTCCCTATCTGTATAATGGGAATAACAACACCTCTCTCTGAGCCCTGTGTAGGATTAAATGAGACAATGCCTACAATGCACACAGCACAGGGCCTGGTACTCTGTGAGGCTGCAGTTGTGGGGTCTGATGGAGAGGCCGCCGGTACCCTCCCCACCTCCCCTGAGATTGGGGCTAGCGGCCAGCCCTTCTGGCCAACCTTCCCCAGCCGCTATGTGAGGATGGGGTGTGGGGCGCAGGGGCTGGGGACTCCCTGAGGAGGACACCTAACCCGGCCTGGGGTCGGGAAGAGGCCAGCTGAGACGTGCAGGTCTGGAGTTTCGAGTACGAGAAGGCGCTCCCCTCCCGGGTGAGAAGCTGAGGAGAGAGCAGCTTGTACAGACTCCGTCAGACAGAAGTTCAGGGATTCGTGAGTAACTTGGTTTGGCCGGAACGAGATGCCAGGTTGGCAGGGGGAGTGGCGGGGGCCACGCAGGGAAGGGCCCTTTTGCCAAGTACAATTAGGAGGTTGGACTTGATCCCGAACGCTCTGGGGAACCCCTGGAAGGCTCTGAGGAGGGAAGGAACATGGGTTGGTTTGCATTTTAATGCTCACTCTGCCCGCAGAGTGGGAGATGGCTGGGGCGGGGCACGGTCCGCCCCTGGGTGTGGCCACCATAACCCAAGCGTCACCTCACTCTCACTGCTTCAAGTAGAATTGGGCACGAACTCCCACCCCACAAAGGGAGGCACCCCGCATCTCTCCGCAGGTCTCCAGGGGTTCTCGGGAACTTCGGTTTCTCTCCTGGCAGCTCCTCTTACGCCACCTCCTGCTTCTGCGGAATTTTCCACCCCATCCTGCACGTGGTGACTCCTGTGTGCCCAACTCGCCTCCTTGTCCCTCCTTCCCTACAGGACCCATGATCCAGGAGGCCTTTGGGTCAGGTGACTTTTCTGTGGGTTGGCACCAAGGGGAAGGGGTGATGTTGCTGATGGCACAACAGACAGCATGACATTGAACTTTGCGTGGTCGTGTTTGTGGGCGTCTCATGGCCGCTCTGCTGCTTCTGACTGGCTCTGCCCTCCCTCCTGTCTTGGAACTGGCCCAGGTGCCCCTCAGACACTTCCCCTCTCACCCGATCCCTGGCCCTGCAGCCCCCAACCTCCACGGTTCCTGTTCATTTCTAGGGCAGATGAATGAAGTCCCCTGAACCCACCCCAACTGTGCCCAAAAGGAATCTTCATTAGCGAACACGCTTAAGTGTCTAGGTGGCTCCTAAGCAAAGATGGTCTCCTACCCAGTGGGGAATCTGCCCTGGGTGGGGAGGGGGGCACCGAGGAGAACGCGGAAGAGGAAACGTGGATGTTCCGTCTGCGGGAATGAAAGCAGCTGCCTTCGTTCCACAAACAGAGCCCCGTCTGGATGGCTAATCACAACGCGGGTTTCCCAGGCTGGCACAGACCCAGCCTAGCCTCATTGTATATTGATTCTGTGGTTGGTGAAGACTGTTCTGAGACATGCACATCTGAAAGAGTGAGTGAGCTTGAGTTTTCTTTAGCATAAAACCAAGGAAAGCCCAAACTGGCTAGTCCCCCACATGGAGGGTTCTGCCTGGCAGGCTGGCGGGAAAGGACATGGACCTGGAGGCACACGGCAGGCTGCAGGGCCCTGGGCAATTGGCTTAACCTCGCTGGGTTTCAGTTTCTTCATCTGTAAAATGGGCGTAATTTTACTTCCTGTCGGGAAGGTTGTGAAGTTGCAATGAGACCGCATGTGCAGAATTGCCTGGCTGAGCCTGTAGTTGGGTTTGGGGGTAATTTCGACACGTAAGGACACGACTGTGAGCTGAATTGTGTCCCCCCGAATTCATGTTAAAGCTTTAACCCCTAATGTAACATATTTGGAGAAAGGGTCTTCAGGAGGTAATTAAGATTAAATAATGTCACAGGAGTGGCTTTGTGAGAAGAGAGAGAGAGAGAGGGGAGAGAAAGGACCATCACCAGAACCCGACCATGCTGGCCCCCAGATAAGGTTCAGTTGTTCAAGCCACTCAGCCTGTGGCACATGGTTACAGCAGCCCAAGCCGACGAACGCAGTCGTGCGTGTAACCTGTGAGCCTGTGTCTTCAGAAAGCCGTGAGGAAGTGCGCGTGGCCCCGCTAGGCCTGAGCCTGTGGCCTCCCTGCCCTCGGCCGCTCCTTCCATGGCCTGCAAGGTCCCAGCGGCCGGCCGGGGCCTCGGGCGGCACCGCCCTTAGGTATCCCCACACGGGGCTCCCTCCTTTTATCTCCCAGATTCTCCATGCCGCCTGGGGCCTTGGCTCCCGCTGTCCCCTCCGCCTGCGATGTGTACCTTTGCAGGGCTTCCCATCCACTCAGAGGTCCGCTCCTCAGAGGCCCCTGCCCGGGCTGCCTGCCGAGACAGTGCAGCCTCTACCCAGACGGCTCTCGTTTCCTTTGCTCTATCTTAGTCTCCTCCTAGCAGGCATCACTCACTGAATTTAAATGATTTGCCCATTTGTTATCTGTTTTTCTCCACTAGAATCTAAGCTCCATGAGGACAGAGGTCTTATCTATTTGTTCTTGCTATATTCCTAGAGCTTAGCATGGTGACGGTCACGTAATGGGGACTCAACCCGTCCTGAATGAATGAATGAATGAATGAGTGCATGAGTGAATGAATGAATGAACCAGGCGATCTGGGGAACGCTCCTTGCCTGCGTACCTTGATCTCCAGCACCATACCTTTTTTTAAGAAAATTTTATTGGGGAACAGCCATGGTCCTTGGTTACACATTGCTTTCATGCTACAATGGCATAGTTGGCTCTATTCGGGAGGGCGCAGCTTGCAATGGCCCACGTGGGGATTGAACCGGGAGCCCTGGTGTTATCAGCACCACGCTCCAACCAACCGAGCTAATGGGTCACCCCCCAGCACCATACTTATATCCATCATTCCCGCTACCGGCTAGCTGGTTCAGCCAATGGTGTTCCAACTAAAGAGTTCTACAGAGGGGTACGGGGCCCCCACAGAGAGCTAGGCTGGGGTAGGCGGTGAAGGAGTCGGCCTTTGAATGCTCTCTCTGCCCTTTTAACTAGAACAGCTCTGAGTGTACCTGTTTCCATCCTGGGGTGATGTGAAAAATCTCACTCGATGAAGTGGCTCCACAGCTAGGAGAGAATGGAAACCCAGACATTGGATCTGACCCTTCATGTTACAGATGAGGGGGTCTGAGGACCAGAGAAGGAAGGGGCTGTGCCCAGGCACAGAGGGTCCGTGGCAGAATGCTGTACCCCATGGTGCTGTGGTCAGCGATCAAGGCATTTTTTTTGTTGCGTTACAGAAAAAGACTTTCTTCCTCAAATGCTATAACTTGGCTCCCGTTCTCTAAGAACTGGGGACAGGAAGGGATTTGTGGTCACCCCTGCTCTCTGGCTGTCCCAGACACACTTCAGACTCAAAAGTCCCTGTGGGTTCCCAAGCACACTGCAGGACATCACAGAGGAGCTCTGCCAGGGGCACTCAGGAGAACCCAGGCCAAAGAGCCACCATGGGACATGACACACGGCCAAGGGCCATTTGGCTCAGGCAGTCATAGCATCTTGAGAGGGCGAGGATTTCTTCTTAGAAAGACCCAGGGCTGGCTAGCATGGACCCCAGCCCTCTGAGAGGCTTGGTGGTAGAATCATAGACTTTTCTGACAGCCCACGTGCTTGCTGGCAAGGTACCTTTTCTCTACCTGTGCCCCCTCCCCCTTTTTTCAGCTAGTTATACGGAGCATTTGCTGACTGGAAATTTTATGTTAGCCATTACTGCAAACCCAGGAGTTCATTTCACCGCTGGCGATCTGCTCTTGTCCTGGGGGAAACCTAATTAGGTATTACAGGGCTTTTGATGTCATTTCCATGGAAACCCCCATAGTAATGGTGTGCATGCAGAATATATGCTCTAGGGAGTTTGAAAATATATATATATATGTGTCATTACTGGATTTTAAGACAATCTTCCATTTTTTTCCTCTTGCTCTTTTTTCCCCCTCCATATATATTTTTAAATGATGGAAATTTTCCCTGGAGTTTTTCTCCCACAGAGAGAGAACAATAGAGAACAGAAAAGGCCTTTTCCATTTTCTCTCCTGTAATTAAAAAAAAAAAATCATAGTTGCACAAGAATGAAAGTTTTTTTCAAGTCGGTCAGAATGTCTACACAGGATCTCCTCTAATAGCTGAGAACATTTTAATGAAAGATATTCTTGAATAAAGAAACTGAAAGGCCTCAAGCCTTTCAAAATAGAATGGGGGAACGCTGGTGAGTCCAATGAATCAACTCCACACTTATTTACCCAGAAAGGAAAATCGAAAAAAAAAAAAAAAAGGGCAGGTTTCCTGTGTGCCTTGCGTGGGTCTGGTGCTCAGCACGCTGTCGGGTTGACACTGGAGGCTCTGGGGTGGCAGTCTCCCTGTCAAGATAGCCCGTCCTGGGCCCCACAGCTAACACATGGTGGGCTCTAGAAGTTCCACCTGAACTGACCTGTTTTGAGGTGACCAGATGACCCTTCAGAGTTGGCCCCCATGGGGAGCTAACTAGCAAGGAAGCGTGCAGACCTGGTCTGGCTGAGGTGGGGGTGCAGGTGGAGGGGGCTAGCAGATTTGAGAGAGAGAGAGACAGCCTGTTATGCACCCACGTGCTACAGCTACAATTCCAGGGTTTCTGGAGAACCCATAAATAACTGAAATTTTTTTCCTACTTCCAATTGGTCATTCAAGGATGGAATGCCCATACTGACCTTTTTGCCAGCTGCCAGCGAATCACTTTGCCCCCACAGGAGCCCTACAGAGCAGAGGCTGTCAATCTGCAACCTGGAATGTCTATCGGCCACTCATACACCCCCCAAATCCCACCTGAACCCCCACCTCCCTACACACACACATTGTTTATGAATGTCCCCCAGGCCAGCATCTTAATAATCCCTCACATTTTTAGAGAAGTTAGGAAAGCACAGTCCCCCTTATTATCTGTAATGTTGGGTCCTAATCCTAACCCCATGAGGGGGCAGGTTCAAGGTTAATAGTCCCATGATAGAGATGGGGAACAGGCTCAGAGAGGTGGTGTGACCTCCCTGAGAGCACACAGCCAATACCTGGATGTGTGAGACTTCAGTCTAGCTTGCCAGCTTCTAACCACATTCCATGTGGCCTTCCCCCTCCCCCCCATCAGGAAACTGAAACAGAGGCAGGGCACCTGAGGGGCCGTGGCGACCCCGCCCTGGGACCAGCGCCTTCCTGTCAGGTTGGGCAGAGCAATGACGCGCCCTCCCCTTTAACTTGGATGATGCGAAGTCTCGTCCCCCATCAGGGAAGCCAAAGGGATCTGTGACTCGTTGCTTCAGTTCCTGCCCAGAGCGAACCCAGTTACTATAGTAACCTGATGCAATTCTTTATTACAGGGTGGATGGTTTTCATTTGTATCTGAAGAGTTTGGCCAGTCACGTCACCATGGCTTGGCCTGTCAGTGGCAGGAGTGGAGAGAACCCTTTGAGTGGACATTAGGTTTTCCTGTTTCCACGGATGGTGGAGACCCGTGTCTGGAAACGCCCGGGCTCAGCTGCGCTGGGGAAGGAGAGAGAGGGAGTAGCTGGGTGCTGTGCTGGGTACCTCTCCTGTTCAGACCACGCCTTCCTAATTAGAACCGCCTGGGTGGAGGTCGGCGCCTCACCAGTTGTTCCCATAGTGCCTTCTAGTTCCCCTCCATGATCCTCATCACGGGGCCATGCTCAGGGCTGAACTCCTGGGGACACAGGCTTGCGAGCAAAGCCTGGGCCTTCCCCTTAGGTGAACCCCAGCATGCCTCTGGGCTGGGCACACAGCAGGTGCTCCATAAATGCTTGTTTTTGGGGCTTTGCCCATCCTCCTGGCATGGCAGCAGGAATCTCAGCTTCATGGGAAGTTAGGGCTGGAAGGGGGCTTAGACGTCACTGAGTCCAGCCCTCAAGTTGCAGAGAGGCTGTGACCCTACCCATGAATAATGGTAAAAATAATCTCAGTTAATCCTTACAGAGCATTTCCTGAGCCCCAGGCAGGACTCTGTACTCTGTGTATCACATCACACGGCAGCCTCACAGCGACCCGCTCTGCAGTGGGTTTTGTCATTGTCCCAGATGAGCAAACTGAGGCACAGAGAGGTTCGGTGACTTCCCCAAGGTCACAGAGCTAGTCAGGGTTAGGATCAGGATGCAGACCAGGCGGTCCCTCTCCAGGGCCTCCACCACGGGACACCCAGCTGCTGGTCCTGAGAGCACAGCTCTGCCAGCAACGCCTGTGGGCCCCGTTCCTGAATGGGGGAGGAGTCTGTGCCAGCCCGAGTGCAGCTCCCTCATGCAGAAAACAACTTTTTCATCTACACATCCCCCCCTCCAGGGCCTGCTCAGCTCAGGGCCCAGCAGGAGCTCAAGGACCTGTTTTTCTTAGAAATGAGCTGCTCTTCCTCCTCTTCATGAAACAGCCAGTTTGGGGACATCCCTCGAGCAGGAAGGGACCTTGGGAAGCAATTTACAGAAATGGAGGCGCACTAAGTGTCCCAGCGGGGTCTCCCCACTCCCCATCCAGGGCGCTGAGCTCCCAAGCAGAGGCCTCCAGAGAGAGGGCCCTGACCCGCTGTGGGTTCCGTCCTGGCCGCACTAACGGGCTCTCTGCTCCCGCCAGCTTTTCGTGATCGACAATGGTGCGGACGATTGGCGGATAGCCATGACCTACGAGCGCATTCTGTACATCAGCCTGGAGATGCTCGTGTGCGCCATCCACCCCATCCCCGGCGAGTACAAGTTCTTCTGGACGGCGCGCCTGGCCTTCTCCTACACGCCGTCGCGCGCGGAGGCGGACGTGGACATCATCCTGTCCATCCCCATGTTCCTGCGCCTGTACCTGATCGCGCGTGTCATGCTGCTGCACAGCAAGCTCTTCACCGACGCCTCGTCCCGCAGCATCGGCGCGCTCAACAAGATCAACTTCAACACGCGCTTCGTCATGAAGACGCTCATGACCATCTGCCCCGGCACCGTGCTGCTTGTCTTCAGCATCTCGCTGTGGATCATAGCGGCCTGGACCGTCCGCGTCTGCGAAAGGTATGCCCGCGGGTCCGTCGCCTTCCAAGCACGCGTAGGGTGGGGGCGGGGGGGAGGAGCAGGGAGCCAGGGTGTGTGGGGGTGCCTGGTGGAGGAGCGCACGTGACCCCCTCAGAGGAGACAAGGGGAAAGGGGGAGGGCCGATCGATCGGGGCTGAATATGAGTGGGAACGTGGGAACACCAGAACCAAGGTGCGCTGGGAAAAACGCATGTATATGATGCCTCATTTTCCGCCCCCTCTTTGTCAACACACTCTAGTTACATCGTTAACCCTGTCTTGTGTATAACCACTCTGCAACTTCCGTGTTATCTCCTCCTCTTGGAGGTGAACGATGCTCCCTGGCATTTTAAAGGCTCTGAGACGTCCTGCAGCAATGAAACTGGTTTGCTTTTGTTTGGTCCAGATTTTCTCACAAGTATCCGCCCACAAACCCTTTTCAACGTAGAACGCTGCTGAAGCCTCCTTACGCTAAGTGTGGTCCACAGGTGGGCAGCATCAGCTGTCCCTGGGAACTTGTTAGCATGCGCACTCTCAGGCCTCGCCCCAGAACTACCGAATCGAATTTGCATTCTAACAAGTTCGCCAGGTGATGTGTATGCGCCTTAAAGTTTGAGAAGCATTGAGCTGATGGAACATACTCTGGGAAGCATGGTTTGAGGAGGCTGGTGTCTGGGCAGTGACTCAGAGAAGCCGCTGGTGGGAGAGAAGGGGGATACGGCTTTAACATGGAATGGCGGCCCCTCAGAACTGCCATCACCCAGGCTCAAGGTGGGACTGTCGCTACTCCTTCCACCACCACGCCCTTGGTAACTCCTCTCCCTTTCAGGCTGACCGTGGGTCTTCATTTTCATCTGACTTCACATGTGGAGTCTGAACACGTAGCTTAAAAACCTGGATTCTGTGCTTAGGTAGCTGTGAGGCCTTAGGCAAGTCACTTAGTCTCTCTGGGCCTCAGTGTCCAGAGACTTAGAATGAGGATCTCTTGAGACAGAAGGAAGATATGCTCGCTCGAGAGGTTATTATTACGTTGGGAGGCCCGGTCAAGCAGCCCGTGTAATTTACACGGATCCTGGTAGTCACCCTTAATTCATCAGCGCTTACAACTGTATTGCCAGATCTCCCATGCACGTGTCCCAGCAGAGAGAGCACAGGCAGAAGCCTGGAGGAGAGTTAGCCTAAAAACGTCTCATGTGGGTAGTGGAGCCAGATTTCCCACCTATTTTAAGATGTTCTGTTTGCAGACATTCCTTTTAGATATGTGGCCGGCAGACATACAGTCAAACTAAGGGGGAGCTGGACGAGGGCCCCCAAGCCTGGCAGGGTCAGTCTCTGCAAACCAGTGCAGCGTCGGGAGACATATCTGACGTACAAAGCCCCAGGGATACACAGTACCCACCCCTCCCCCCCATCCAGAAACCCGCCATCATCGGCTCTGTGAAGGACCACACTTCACGACGCTTTGTGAACTTCCTCTGGTAAGCAGGCTCTCATTCTGTAGTGAGAAAGCAAGTGCTTGGGGTCCAACCCCACGCTCCCCATAGAACTCTTAGCTAAGCAACTCTGCTGATCACATCGCCTCCCTGGGGCCTCACTTTTCTCATCTACAAGCTGTGGATGGTACTACCTACTTGTTGCTAGAGTTAAACAAGATCGTTATGTGAACTGTACACTCAGTACAATGTGAGTGAAAATGAATAATCATTATGGAGACCCATTGCTACCTCTGGGGAATTCTGTGGCTGCTTTCTAATTATATTAGAACGAACCAATTCCTACCACAGGTAGACCTAGGTTCTTCCTGTTTTCCTTTCTAAGCGATGGAAGCCAAGTCTTCTAACAACAGTCATTGAATTTGCATAGCCCTGTGAAGTGTTTGAAAGCTTCCTACTCCTCACGTAAACCCTGTTTGGCACCTACGGTCACCCCATTTTTCAGATGAGCAAATGGGCTGAACATGGGACAGAGCGCCTGCAAGTGAGAGTCATTGTCTATTGAACGTGTCACAAGTACGGGTGACTGTTTTTCACAGGAAAATGAGAGGGCTTCAGAGTGCATAGTTTGCAAATGCCCTGTGGCATTTCATTTCGCTTCAAATGACCCTGCAGGGCTGCCGAGCTGAGGCTGGGTCACCCGGGCCCCCAGCTGACCCCAGGCCTCTGACGTGACACACAAGCCCCAGCGGAAGTCCAAGGCAAAGACACAGAGAAACAACGAACGAATAGCAAGTTCTCCGAAAGTTCCGCCTTCTCTTGTAGAAAGGCCCTGTGACTAAAGGCTTCTGCTTAGACCGGACGTTGAAGCCGGTGGCTGTGCTCACTGCTCTCATTCTCAGGAGCTTACCTGGTGCCAGTTTATGGGAAAAGCTACGTATGTCTTCTCTGTTTGCCCTCACAGTCGACCTATGACAGAGGTACCATGGCTGTCCCCATTTTAGAGTCGAGGAAATGGATGTAAAGTGTTTCAAAGCCACTGAGACTGACACTTAAATCCCAGCTTTGCTGTTTTGTCTGCCTGCCGTGTCGGTGCTCTTCACCACTTGATCACACCACGTTCAGGGCTGACTTCCTGTTAAATTCAAACAGATCCGAAGGTAGTGGCGGCCATGGTGTGCCACCTAGCTGTCCCCTCTGGGCCCAGGCTCTCATTCCCGCACAGGTTTGTCCTCTGCAGCCGAGTTCTTCTCCCAGAGTTGCTCTGGCTGAAGGGAGCTGCCTCAGCCGAGGTCAAGCCCCCTGCCCGGGGCCAGCAAGCACCCAGTGACTTGTGGGTACAGCAGTTTCAAGGCCCAGCCCCTTCACCTCCAGGGCCGCCAGGGCTCCAGGGCTCCCTGGGGAGTCAGCAGAGGCCCCTGTCATGTCTGCATGGCATTTTATCTTCTCCCTCTTCCCAGTCCTACGTCCCTCACTCCCCATTGGTGTTGATCCTGACAGCAGCCCCAACAGACCTCCCGCACCCCAATCTCAGAGTCTCAGAGACGCTTTCACAGGAATCTGACCCATAGAATTCTGAAAACGTGAATGAATAAGTATGTTTTTTCCTAGTCAGGCAATGCACTTCCCTTAAAAAGACCAAGCAATTTCTTTTAGAATTAAGCTTAAATGACTATTGTCCTGTCTCAGTGTCAAATAATAAGCAAGATTGGCCAAAACCTTGAGACAAGAATTAATCAACCAGAGACTGAACAGAAACTGGGAGGGGGCCCGCTGTGGGGGGACCACCATCGGGCTGGGGTGGCAGGATGACGCGGGCGAGACGGCCTTGGTCTCTCTGATGTGATCATGATCCTCTCACCCTGGCCAGCAGAGGAATAAATGACTTGCCCAAGGTCACAGAGCAGCACTGTGACAGGTTCCAGCCCGTTGACACTCCAGGTGGCTTCCGTCAGCCTGGACTTATCTCTAGTTGTATGCACACTCTTCTGAGGTTGCTATGGAAATCCCGCTTCAGCAACACGCATTTTGAAAGACACTCCTTATATCCTGGGCTGGCTTTTATGTGACAATAAGGGTTTTTCACATTTGCTCCTTCCAAGGAGGGAGGGGGCACTCGTAGTGACCCAGAACAGTGAGCTGTGGGGAAGGCAGCAGCCGGCCCCCTGGAGGCAGTGACGACAGCAGGCATCTTTTCCTTGGACCCCCGTGAGGCAATGTATCCTGGGTCCCCTGGCCTGACAACTGTGGCATTTGGCATTCTCTGGGATTCTCCTGGCGGCCGGCCCACCTCCCACAGACCACCCAGAGCCCATCTGAGGAACCTCCTCATTAAACGCTGCCATACGCCGGGCAGCCGTTCTGGTGGAGGGACCATCGGCAGCCTCAGCCCTAAGGGCGGTTGGCTGGGAAGGCGGGCTTTCCTGGCACGCCCTGAACGAAGGTCTGCCAGCTCACACGTGTGTGTTTATCTCCCAGGGAGGAGCAGCAGGCCTCCCATAGCATGGATGAAGTGCGCTGAGTCAGGTTTGGTAAATGACCTTCTAGCCTCTCAAAGGGACTCCCTTTGGACGCTTCCCTCCTGAGGCTCCAAGCTGTACACGCAGGCTGTCTCAGTATCTCAGGCCCCCAGCTTGCCAACACGTCCCTGGGGATGATGTCAGCAATGTTCATCTTGTTCTTGCATATTGGCATTATAATGAGAAATTTGCTCCTGGTGACCTGGCCCCTGGAACTAGAGAAAAACCATCAGTGGCCTGTCCTTTCTCTCATTCAAACAGAGCTAAAGAGTCTTCCTTCCTCCAACTCTCTCTTGCCTCCGGCACAGACACCCAGCTCTGCACCAGCCAGAAGCCGGGGAGAAGAACCTCCCTCCATTCCCCATCTCCTTCCCACAAACTCCTCCCACCTCTGGTAGTGCCCTCAACTCCAAGAAAGCAGTAAGGAGGCAGTCTACAGGATGAAGCACACTGCATGGGGTACGCGAGTCTTCAGGCAGAGCGCTTATGTGTGGGGCCGAGCTGAGAAGAGCCCTGGGAACCAGGGACCGAGGACTGGTTTCTCACAGCCCCTGGGGTTGGACGCACAACCTCCAATGTGGACCCTTAGGGATGAGGGGAAGAAATGATCAGAAGAACATCTAGTCATCGTTACTTTTATCCAAAACATTAAGCTTTGCTCGTATTTAATATGCAGGTAGACAGTAAAACGTGGGTGCAGTTTGTGATGAACATATATAGCAGGAGGAGGATGTGTGATCAAAAAATGTTTGCTAGTCGGAGCCCATGATTTTAAAGGTTTGTAAACCGCCGGTTTGGGGTGTCAGAAGGCTAGTTGGTGAGAAAAGTATTCTGCCACGCTGGCTGAAGCCTGGGAGACCTGAGCACCCAGCCCTCTAGCTGGAGAAAGAAGTCAGCACCCAGGAGGGCAGAGGAGGCCTAAGGCAGTCCTGTTTCCCCAGGCCGGGTCTGCACTGATCATTCTGAATTCAAAGGTGAATTCACAGCAGGGGCTGGGGTGGGAGTGAGGGGGACAGTGAGGAAAGGAGAGAGGGAAGGGGGTGGTGCTA